CGGCTGTGGGGCCACGGACGCCCCCGCCCCCGCCCGGGCAGCCTCAGCCCCACACCCCAACCGCGGCGACGCGCGGGGAGGGGGTTTCGGCTCCTCTCGCCTACCGACCCCTTCCTTCCCTCTCCCCCCCTCGGCCCCGCTGCGGAGGGAAGGGAGAGAGCGGGAGGGAGGGCACCGACACCCCCCTAAACTCACCAGCTGCTCGACGGCGGCAGCGCCTCTTCCCCTTCCGCCATAGCTGTTGACGTGCCTCCTCGGTCGGCCGTAAAGCGTGGTCGGGCGGTGCTGTGTGTGTGGTGGTGGGTTTTTTTGTTTTTTTTTTTTTTTTTTTTTTTCTGACACTCCTCCTTCCCACGCGCCCGCTCCCGTCCCCGCCTCTCCCATACTGTCGCGAAATGAGGGCGCCCGCCGCAAAGCGCGGAAGCCTGGCACAGGAGGAGGGAGGCGCCCTCATGAGGCGAATGGGCGGAGGTGAGGCGGGCCGGCCCGGCCCGGGCTGGGCTCGTCGCTGCCGCCGACCGCGCTCCGACGGCGTTCACCTGAGCCAGAACCGGGCTCGCCGCGGGAAGCGGGTCCTCAGGACCGGCTGCGGTTACGGGGCTCTCCCGCGGGGAGCTGCCCCGTAACGGGCCGGGCCGGGCTGACAGAGCTCCCCCTCAGGCAGCCGGCGGTTGGCGTCCCCGCGGAGGCGGTGGTGGGTGCGCGGCAGCCTGGCGAGGCTTGCTGCGGTCAGCTCCTCGTCCTCTCCGGTCCTGTGTGTCAGGGTGGGTGGTGGGGGAAGGCCCTACCGCCGGTTCAGGTCACCAGCAGCTGCAGATGCTTTCCTTTAGAAGACTTAGGAATCGGTTTCCCCGGCAGGAAAGCCATTCCGTGAAAAATTTGCATGTTTTCGGTTTTCATAAAGGTGAACTGCTTTGCTATGTATAGGTTTGATTATTAAATGACTTCACCTAACGTCAGTATTGTGCCAGGCTATACTCCACGAGTCAGAGAAAATTCGCAAGTTTTACACACCACCCTGTTTCCAAGGGCTAAAAATCACCTGGTAATATTCATTAGCAACCCTGGGCAGAACAACGCTAACGCTCTCGATCACGCACGTGTTTTACCCATCTACACCCTCGAAGGAAAAAAAAAATAGTATTCGTCTGTGAAAGTTCAGAAAAATGATTCAAGTAATTTATCCGTGGAATAACAGTGCCACCTTATGATAAATTCATGTCCTCACACTTGTCTGGTTTACTTCCACAGCTTGCCTGGGGATGTGCTCTGGTGTGTAAATACCCAGAATTTATGCGGGACTGCTCCTGTGAAAAAAGACACACGCTTGCTTAACTCGCAGGATCCCGTTCACCAAAGAGTCAAGAACATTCATCTTAAGGTAACATGCAATGTTTTCATGTATATATTTGCTTCTCAGAAAAGATTATATGAATTATGTTAATCAAGAAAGTAGGTATTTTACAGCATGAAACCAGGTTCAGGCAATTAAAAAAAATTAATATTGTGAAGGAGAGGGTAATATTTTCAATTCCTTTCCTCTCTTTACCGCTTCATCTATATTTGTCACAAAAAAAAAAAACCAACAAAAAAAAAAAGCCAACTAAAAACGCCATGCATTTTAGACACCTACTTAGGGAAAAAAAAAAAAAAAGGTAAAATGTTCATGAGGCATCATTTTTCTCCTGGCCGTCTGGAAGTGGTGAAAGCTGGCGGGGGGAGAACGACA